TACTGATATTCTGTACAAACTGTGAAGTCCACTGAGACAAATGTAACATTTTGTGATATTGGGCCCTATATAAAATAAACATTGATTGATGGAGTGCGCTCATCCGCGGAGCAAACAGAAAGTCATCAATCTCTCATTACGCCAATCCTGATTTGGCAGGTGATCTTGAACGTCAGCGTCAGGAAATCCACCCCCCTATAAGTAGCTGGCGCTACCGCCGCATGCGTCATTCAAAATAAAGCACCTCTTCTCGCTTCACGATAGCCAAGGAGGGCCGTCTGGTGAGACATCCTCACTTCATGTTACTCCTGAGAACTGGGGTTACGGCAAGTAACCTAATAGTTCTCATTCAGAAACACTCCGTTCGATGTCTCACTATGGGATAATTGTAGGGCTCCCGTATTGCAGACGACAGCTTATCTCAAAAAATCACCCAAACCACACCAGAACTTAAGCAGTAGAGCACTGGAGCTCAACAGGGTGCCCAGCCACTGCTCGGGCCATACTGGAGCAGAGAGCGTCTAGGCCTGTAAAAGCGGACAAAGTGAGCGGCGCGAGGACCAGCTCGCGCCTGCACAAAGTGTCTTGGATGGAGACACCCTTGAACAAAGCCCAGGATGTAGCCAGACCGACCAGTGAATGAGCACGCAAACCCGAAGGTGCATGCAGACCCGCTGATCGTGTAAAGCCAAAAGCAATTGCCCTCCACAATCCCAGTGAGAGAGCGCGGCTTAGGTAACCAGGCTTGCCCTTCTGAGGGTTAGCCCAGGACACAAAAGGAGGTTGGTCATTACGACGAAACTCTCTTTGATCTATCCATATAAGTGCGTAAGTACGGACTGGACATAGCAAATTCGGCTGCTGTTGTCCGCGGAAGGGACAGCAGCGGCACGAATGTCAATTGGTACCTGAACCAACCACCTTAGGATAAAGGCCAGGGTTTGGGCTCCCAGCAACCACTCTAGTTTTCCCTGGGGCCCCGAAGCTAAGGGCATTGAAGGATGTACAGTATCCAATTGAAGTTAGCTGACTCGGCTTGGCCTGATGCAGGGCGAGTAACCGCGGTGAACAAGTGCTATCATGTCACGGCGTCTTAACAGAGGTTCAAAATGGGGCTAGGAATGCTCCGGTTTTTTGGAGCCACAATTACATGGGAAATCACTCGCGGTCAATGGACGTACTGTCGCTCACTGGAATACTTAATGGCCAGATTGAATACATACATACCGACCCATTTCTCAGCGGTCAATGACAGGAGAGTTTTGAAAGTGACAAAACAACTGTTCGCACAAGCCATTTAAAAACACTTTAATCAACTGATTACCAGGGGTCCGCATGCAGCCATTCCCTGGGCCCCCTTGTAAAAGTGGTGATGCGCCGGAGGTATCCTACTATTTAAAACATGTATACCACTCATGTTACACCCTTCATAGGGTTCCCTACACAGCCTATGCACCACAGCCTGGAGCAGAGACTCGCCGTTTCCCCCCGCTTGTCCCCATTTGCTATCAGTTTGTTAAGCGAAGTGGACGCAGCAGCTGTTCCCCTAAAAAAAAGTGATTTTAATTGTGGCCATTTGCGTTAAATGTGGGTTACGCCATCATGAAGCCCCGGCCCCCATCCGACACAATGCACATGGTCTGGAGCTCGCTGGGGTCCTGCATGCTTTAATCACACTTTTGGTCATTTGCCTATCAGTTTGTTGAAGCGAGTGGAACCAGCCACGTTTTCCCCCCTAAAAGTGATTTAATGCTGGCTTTTGCGTTTAAACTGAGGGTAACCATCATTAAACCAGGCCCGCCCCGACACAAATGCACATTGTCTGGAGCTCGGCTGGGTCCCGCAAGAACCAATCTTAATCACACTTTTGTCCCATTTGCCCATACAGTTTGTTAACGAAGTGGAACGCAGGCACTGTTTTCCCCCCCTAAAAGTGATTTTTAAATGCTGGGCCCTTTTGCGTTTAAATGAATGGGGTGTTATCATTAACCAGGCCCGCCCGACACATTGGCACTAGTCTGGAGCTCAGGCTGGGTCCTGCGCATATGCTTTAATCACAACTTTTGTCCCATTGCCCATCAAGTTTGTTAAGCGAAGTGGACGGCAGCCACTGTTTTCCTCCGCCCTCAAAGAAAAAGTGAATTTTAATGCGGCTTTGCGTTTAAATGATGGGTGTCTATCATTAACCAGGCCCCCCGACAAAAATGCTACATAGTCTGGAGCTCACTGGGGTCGCTGCGCATATGCTTTAATCAGAAGCGTTTTAACACTTTTCCCCAAACGAAAATGATTTTTAATCATTTTTTCGGGCTATTACAAACAATTCGCTGTAATTGCGAGCACAATGTAACCTTTTAAATATTTTAATGTATTTGCATATATATGCTTTGGGGCATAAAAAGCGACAATAGTATGGAATGAGCTTTGTCAGTTTATGGAAGTCTT